AAAAAAAAAAAAAAAAAAAAAACGTTCTATTAAGATTTCATAATATAATCATAGAGTATTTGATTCCAAACATCGGGCACGCCCGGGAGACACCAATGCAAGCAATCCACGAAATGCATCGGATCATTCTTCAACCGTCGTTCAATGTCGACTCCCCAAAACATTCTGTTAATCGCCGGATGAGCATCTCCCCTGTAAGACGACATTTGGGTTATGTTGAGATATTCTACTTTGACCCCTCGTTGCTCCAAGTCCTTTATGGTCGACTCTAATATACGCATCATTTCGTAACTCATGAAGCTTCGCCAAAATGCCTCGTCAAAAACCGGCTCTTTAAGGCCGAAGCACCGGTGATCCGCACCCCAAATCGTTGTCCTACACATTCATTTGTTGATGAACATTCGATAGACTAATTTAATCTAATCACCTAATGCCTATGTATGCGCACATTCAGTTATTTAAAACTTGGAGTTTATCATAAAATTTTTTTTAGAACTTTTCAAATAAGCCAGTTTGAAATTTTTTCTTTCAGATTACTTATCAACTAATTTTATATAACACTTCTAGTATATGGACTAGCTTTTTCAGCCATAAGCTATATAAACTCGAAATTCATTTATAAGTTATGATCAACTAACTTATCAGCTAGATTTACCAAACACAACTTGAACAAATGCAACATTTTGTTATCTTCGAAATGCTATGCAACGAGATCTTTTGATCGGGATGCATTACGTATACGTACCCTTCATGGTAAGCCGTGGGTCCCATGAAAAACAACTTAGTTTTGGTTCGGTTGACGTGCATTTCGACCCAGTTCGACCAAGTGCGAAGTGCGATTTCGTAGGGTAGAAGCTTCTTAGTCACTCTTTTCTCAAATGCTTCAGGGCTACCAAATGAACCCCACCTAAACATTATACACAAACAGAGAGAAACAGAGGAAGAAGATAATTATTAGTATCCCCTTATTTTAAAATCTAAATCATTTATACATGAATTTTGTAAAAAATGGACAAGAGGATTTACACACAAGATTTTCATGTATGTTTCAACATCTAAATCTTTTGTGCATGAAATGTCTAAAAAAAAAATGGACAAGAGTTATAATTGCTCACAAGATATTCATGTAGAGTGGGCCGGTCCACCAAACGAACGAGTCGAACACCAATATATCCGCATCATTCCAATTCCTACTGTGATTTTCGATCGACTTAATCCGAGCCACACGGGGCCACACTGAATGGCTCTCTGCATTGTCGGCATTGGACTCGACAAGCAATGGGGACCAGTAGAATCCGATCGATGCATTGTGTTCCTTCAATCAAATATGCAAACAAAACAAAATAAAAAGTCGATAATACATCGAACAAAAAAGGTCGATCGACTTTTTCTTCTTTTTTTTGTTTCTCGCCACACTTACGGGAGATCGAAAATTGTACAAGTTGCCATTCAATTTCAGGGTTCTTTTTGTTGTTGCCGGAAGAAAAGAATCGACCATGCAAAGCATCGATTTGTAAAGGTTTCGATTCAAGGAGTCCCCAACGTACACGAGCCTTTTCCCCCTTATTTTCTCGAGCAATGCGGTGCCGTTGAACCTATACAAGAAAAATGATACCACTACGAAAAAAACACAACAAAAGTCTATACAGGCTAATCTAGGTTGTGTACGAGTCGAGCTGAGTTTGAATTCGAGATCGGCTCGTAAAATAAATGAGCATGAAAGCGAGCTCGAGCCCGGCTCGTTTATCACTAATAATGAGCCGAGTTTGAACCTTAACGAGCAGATCTCGAGCTTTAACGAGCCGAACTATAGAAAATTATATAAAAATATATAAAAAAAAATCTTTTCGAGTCTTAACGAGCCTTATCGAACCGAACTAAACTCGGCTCGTTAATCAAACAAGCTTTCAAGCACGATCTCGACTCATTTATCAAGCGAGCCGAGCCGAGCCGAACCCGAGCCTTAACGAGCTTAGTTCGAGCCAGACTCGTTTAAATTAACATAAGAGGCCCTATAAAGATTGGATTTTTATTTACCAAACCTTGGAAGGTCACAACCATGAGGCTGCCATCTCCACTTCTGATACTTTAAGTCCTTTCTTCCGAACGTCTCGCAAGCAAAATCGTCCTCCATAAACGGGCACTTTCGCTCCTTGTAAATCGGGTTCGAAAAGTTGTCGTAAACCCACGTGCCCGAAAACAAGTCGCACGTAATTGTGCCCGAACCGTTTTCGACCCGGGTTTTAAGTTTGACCGGGCTTTCTTGGGTAAGATTTTCTAGGCTGTTGTTCCGGGTCAGGTGGATAGAAACTGCAACAAGGGCCAAAAGGGATAGGCTTACTAGTTGAGGGAGTTTTGGCTGTAGTTTCCATGTCTTGATGAAGGCCAATTTTTCGTTTTTCATTGTCCTTTGGCTTTAGTACTTTGCCTTGTGAGCTTGAGTTTGGTGATTATCTGTACTATGCTTTTTTTTACTTGGGCAATGATAATTGGTATGTTGTAGCAATGCAATGGGACAATTACATCACGTGGTTATATTTGTTAATTAACATGTTTATATTATATATATCGACATCTTTTGTGCCCATTAATTACTATAGTATAAGGATTTGTTAGGAAGAAAAAGAGGAAATTGAAGATAGCTTGCTTGATATATAATTTGGTTCCTCATTTGATAAGATTGCGACATAAATTAATTTTTGTATTAATTAAATGTGATTGTAGATTAACAACCATACATTTGGGCTTATTAATATCAGTTTAATATTCATGTACTTGGGCTTCTTAATATTAGTTTGTATTAGGCCCATTTGATGTAATACATTGTATCAGCCCATTAGGTTTTATATTTGCCATATATAAGGCTGAACTAGGGTTTACTGTACTGACTTTTCACTTTCTCGATTCTATCAGATCAATAAGATGTATTTTCATTTTCTCTCGATCTCTCGCTCTCTAGTTTCCATCTGATTTCATATGAACATCTTGTTCAATAAATCATATTATGGTATCAATCGCTGAGTTGTTTTCGATCCCTTACTGATATACTTCCGCTGCTTACTATTTTCTCTCGATCGATGTTTTGAGCTTACAGATCTGGTCCTTGTAACCCTAGATCTGTGTTTTCAAACCTTCCGATTTGAGCTATTTTGTTCCAGATCGATATTATACACTATTTTTCCTTATCGATTCTCATGGCTACTATCACACCACCGACCGACGATCCGTCATCGCCATTTTTTCTTCATCCGAGCGATAATCCGGGTGCACTAATCGTTGCAGAGGTGTTTAATGGAGAAAATTATGTTTCCTGGTCCCGAGCAGTACTCATGGCTCTCAGTGTTAAGAATAAAGCTGGTTTCATAGATGGTACCGTCTCTGTCCCTTCTCTTACTCAGTCTCCTGCTGAATCTCTTGCATGGGTGAGGGCTAATAATCTGGTATTGTCTTGGTTGCTTAATTCTGTGTCAAAAGACATCCGTCAGTCCTTATTGTTTTTTACTGTTGCTAAAGATGTTTGGGATGAGATAAAATCTCGTTATGCTTTGAGTAGTGGTCCTAGGGTTTTCCAACTTGAAAAATCCCTAAGTTCTATGGACCAAGGATCCTTATCTGTGACACAGTACTATAATGCTTTCAAATCTCTATGGGATGAATATGTTACCTATCGGCCTGTTATTCGTTGTACTTGTGGTGCCTGTAATTCCTGCACTTGCAACATTTTTGATGCTATGACTGCTGCTCAACAGTCTGATTCTGTTATGAAATTCCTTATTGGTCTAAATGACTCCTTCTCATCTCTGAGAAGCCATTTTTTACTGACATCTCCTCTTCCCTCACTTTCTAAAGTATACTCTTTATTACTTCAAGAGGAGAGTCAAAGAAACCTTCATGTCCCAAATAAAACTGCTGATCATCTTGCTATGTTTCTCAAAACTTCCCAGCCACAAAACAAATTTCAACAGCCTCACTCTAAACCACAAACCTTTTCCAAGGATAAGAAAAAGCCTAAATGCCAACACTGTGGTTACACCAATCATTCCTCTGACAGATGCTATCAGGTCATTGGTTATCCTCCAAATTGGGTAGGTCCTAAGGGTCCTAGGGTACATCCCTCCCATACAGCTGTCAACTCTGTTTCCACTTTACAAAATCCAACACAATCCTCAACAGAATTCAATACTCCA